TTGGAGCAAAGGATGAAGGGAGGAGAGTTAAAGTGAAGTTAAGGAAAAGAGAGAGAAATAGATTGTAAAAGGAAAGGATGGAATTAGAGTGAAGGGAAAGGAGGGAAGATCAAGAAAAGGTCAGTAAATGGGGGTATAGTTTAGGGAAGTGACCTGCCAGGGGCCTGTTTCTCGAAGGTCCTTGTACTTTATGTACTCTAATTGACAGACGTCAGGTTGTGACAGAAACTTGAAGAAATAATGTTTCAAAGTTTGTTTGGAAGCCTTTTAAATCATCTTTATCATTACGCAAATGGAAATCATGATGTTTCGGTGAAGATCTCTCTTTAATTTGCATCACCTCTATTTTAACTACTATTGACTCGCTCAAAAATTGCTCAGCTTAAGGAAGATCTTGCCGTATTCACAGCCCTAAATCATTTTGGTTCTTTAGTAAAGAATTTCGTTAAGTATAAAAAAAATTATTTACCAGCTCAGGGTCGGTCCGTATGGTGAAAAACTGTGACCGAGGTCTTAATCAAAGTGCTCTGTGAGCAAACTCGTGAATTGACACATGATTTTTTAGATTATGTTTAATGTTATCTAGTTTAGGGAATTTTGTGGTTGATTGTCATATCTAGAGTACGAGCAGTAGTTCAGTGTTCGCTAATGTTGCAAAGAAACAAAGTAACGTTGGGATAAGAAGTCATTACAATTGAAATGATCATGCTATTACATTTGACAAGGTGGATGATGTCATGTGTTTTAAAAGTCTATCATTTTTGTTTCTGGTTCAAAAGAAAAGGTTGGAAGTAAATGTGGGTGAAAAGTGAAATTTACTGTCTCTCATTGTAAATATTAGAAAATCAAGGCAATACTGTCCTAATGAAAACATTAACGATTCCCTCTTTATCAAATGAGACAAACGGGAACGAGTTTTGAGTGATATAACTAAGCCAAGCCTGCCACCGTCATTTTGGATCTCCGCCTGGGTAGATTTAAGTCACGTGCTAGGCAACGTATAATCAATAACAAGATAGAATTTCATTTCAGGCCTATTTATCAATTTTGTGGTGTGTAACTTTCGCATTTTAGTACGTTGTATGTATGTTGAATCTTCAAATTGTCTTGAAACTGAAAAGAAAATTGTTCTTTAAAAATTCACTGAAAATCGGTAGCTAAAATTGTTTGTTTAGGTGTTATTTGATTTTCGTGTTAACTTGTTATTTCGTCAGTCGCCGGCATCTTCTGTTGCTTCACACAGGAAAAACACACGCGACGAAACGTAATGATCAATTTTGTCCTCAATCTCACGCTATAACAGAAAAAGCTTTTGAACATCTGTAAACTCCGAGCGCTTCGCAGTAAGTGATATTTTCAATGAATCTTCGGATTGTTTTCAAGTTGAAAAATTGTAAATTACAATTTTATGAAAAACGAAGGTTGTTCTGTTATTTCAGTGTGAATCCTTGCCTGCCTGCCAGTCGCTGGCGCCCGCTTGTTGAAACTAAAACGAAAAAAAACAACTCTTTTAAGATTATCATTGGCTTCTTTTTCACCCCACCACTATTCTTAGCAACAAAGGTCGCCATTTCGTCTGTTTATTGCTCGCCAAAAGCTATAAAATGCACTCAAAAGCCTAAAATCTTAAAAAAGTTTACAGGAATCGACCAATCGAGCGAGCGAGCGAGCGAGCGAGCGAATGCCATTCCCCACATCGTATCTATAACTCGCTTTGCGCATGCGCGCAATTCACGAGTTAAAAATGCTGCCCGAGCATTTTCAGCACCTATGTCACAGTTTTTCACCATATGGACCGACCCTGAGCCGGCAAATAACATATATATATTACACTGTAAAAGCTAAAATGTAGACGGAAAGCGGAGTAATAAAAAGGCCGCTATAAACGATCAAAACTCTTAAATTCATTCGATTTTTTTATTGGTCATTGTTATTTTGCAAAACCTGATTGTTGCCGTTAAGCTCCAGCTGCGAATCACAAGCCAAATGTGTCATTTTGCTCTTTCGGGAAAATGCAAAAGATGGAAAACTCCGACAGTCATAAAGTTGCTTTCGAGGAAGCACTTCGGTGTCTTTCGGAATTTAAGATGTCTCGCGCATTAAAATCAGAACAAAAAGAAGAAATTTCTACACTGGTTCTGGAAAGGAGCTACCAGCCGTGGTGGCAACTGGCTTTGGGAAAAGCCTGATACACAGGTGTTGGTTTGCATGGAAAAAACCTTCGAGCGTAGTTGTCGTTTGTCTGCTTCGTTAACGTATTGTTTATGATCAAATGGATTAACGATAGCTACGCTCACGGCTTGTTGTTTGGAGGAAATAGAGTGCGAAAATATCAACACGTATTTGCGTCAGTAGAGAAAGTTTTGGTGAAGCCTCTTTTTTTCGTTGATGAAAATAACGGCCACACCGTTTCACCAGAGTGTGCCGATTTTCTTCAAACAAATTGTGGCGTGTAAACCTTCGGGTGCTGTTGTTTGTGCTTCAAAGTATCGTTTTCGATCAACTAAAAGAAAAAATCGTCAAATAGCAAGAGTAAAGGCACCTATAGTCAAGGATTTTTGTTTGGAAAATATGGAGTGCAGTAAATTTCAGCTTATATTTGTGACCGCGGAGGAGGTTTTGTCAAAGCCATTTCTTTCCTCCCTGAAAAAAAAGACTGCCTCACCGTTTCACTAATCAGCTCTACGTGTGTTTGTTTTAGTCGGAAAACAGTGCTTCCAGTTTTAATTGAATTCATTTTGATTGGTTACCTGCTCATTTCTGGAAATGCAGTGAAGCGCAACTAATCAAAGGAGTGTTTTGCTTTTCAATAGGCTCTTTAGGTAGGCGTCTTCTCGCCCTTCCACCGCCCCCTACCCTACCGTCCATTTTAACTCCGAATCAAACATGGCCGATCGGATAAATGACCGCGAGCTTATACCTTTAGCTTTCCCCAATACGAAGCCTGAACTGCAGGCTAACCGTTACACTGAGCACCAGCTAGTCCGTCGGTTCCCCCCCCCCCCCTCTCTGTTATCATTCTGTAGCCTTGCTTTTCTATGAAGAGGAAAATGGGTTATTTGTTGTACTTGAGACATATTTCACACCATTAAAGTGACCAACTCTTTTTACCACATAGTTGCGCAGCGTAGTCTTGCTGAAAACCTTCCGAACAGCTTTGTCCAGTGGTTGGATCTGCTAAAAAATTTCACAAAAGCAATTCAGAGGAATTCATATCATTAATCCAAAAAGTAATTTATTTATTTATTTATTTATTTATTCATTCATTTATTTATACCCGGTAAAAAATTCATCAGGAACAATAAATTCTAATACAATGACTAACATCCTAAAACCTAGAAATCTTAGTCCAAATATTATATTAACTTACAATATGCTATTAAAAAAAACCTGATTTCCATGAATGCCGTGTTTAAAAATTTCTACAGAGAAGGCGTTTAAATTGATTTAATGAACCAGACTCTCTAATACTACAGGGCAAGCTGTTCCAAAGGGTTGCACCGCTGTAACTAAAACTATTTTTCATGTAATTAGTTCTGGAAAACGGGACAGGTTTGCTTACCGAGTCCCTCAGAGAACAGTTTGATTCATTTCGCTTTATAAATTTAGACGTGAGATATTAGGGAACCAGCCCGTTTAAAGACTTGAAAACCATTGAAGATCATTGAAGATATTAGCTCTACAGCTACACTGAATTTCAAGCTTAACTAAAGTATATGTATATATGTATTACGGCGTTCTGAATTTGACGTTGAGATTTCAAGTCTTTCCAGCTGAGTTTGTGAAACAAAGAATCGACATCTACGTCATAGTTTGATGAGGTTATTACTCGTGCAGCACGGTTTTGTAGTTTTTGTAGCTTAGTTAGATAATGTTTGGCGACAATTACCCCAGACTAGGCTGCAGTAATCAAAGTGAGATTGAACCAGTGAGTTGTATATATTGAGTAGGGTGGATTGAACCACAAATGGCTTAACTCGCTTTATGGCTCCAATTGCAGAAGCAATCTTTTTATACAGTTTATCAATATGGGAATGTTACGTTGAATTTTCTTCGATGTATATTCCAAGTGATTTCACAGAGGAAACTTGTTTGATCGGAATATTATCGATGGAGAGTTCTAGTGTATCAGATAGAGTACTTGATCTTTGCCTGAAGCCGATCAACATAAATTCAGTTTTTGTAGTCTTTAGGGTAAGTCTGTCAGACACAAGCCAATTGCTTAGCTTTTCAACGTCGTGAGATAGACTGGACTGAATCAAATTCAAATCAGAACCAGCATAAGTAATGTGGGTGTCATCAGCATACATTCTAGGTATGCTGAACAAAAGACGGTTAGACAAATCATTAATATGAATTAGATACACCGCATATAAGAGTGGCGAAGTGAGAGAGACAACTGTTAACTGAGCAATGTTGTGTGCAATTTGTCAAATACAATTTAAACCAACCAAGAGTTTCACCTTGAATTCCACATCGATTCATTTTAGATAATAATATCTCATGATCAACAGTGTAGAATGCCTTTCTTTAAGTCGACAAACACCACGGCATTGACGTAGCCATGATCGATAGTCAACGCCCAACTGTCAGTGGCTTCTAGAAGTGCAGTAACAGTTGAGTGTAGAGACCGGAAACCAGATTGTTTTAGAGATGATTTCTTCACTATTTAAGAAGTTGTATAACTGATCGTACACAATCCTCTCGAACACTTTGGCGACTACGGAAATGACTGAGGTAGGTCAGTAGTTGTTTAAGTCAGATGACTCTCCCTGTTTAAACAACGGAGCCACTCTGGCACATTTCCAGTCGTCAGGAAATATGCCAGACATCAGGGATTTATTAAATAGATCATATAACGGGCCTAGAATAATATCAGCACACTCACGAATTAACCTAACAGAGATATTGTCTAGTCCTGTAGCTTTAGTTTTTGACCATTTATTGGGATCAGTAAAGACACTGGTAGTAGTTGGACGGAAACAAAATTTTTTGTAATTTTAAGTAATATTTTCTAAATAAATAGACTCCTCGTCCGAAGTTGAGGATATGTCACGGGCTAGCCTGGGCCCAATAGTTGAAAAGTGTTCGTTAAAAGGCGTTGGAAATCTCGTTAAAGTTACAGATAGATATGACACATACTTTCACATCCTTTACTATCTGATTGTTCTGACGACGAGACATGCGGTTGTTAATAGTTTTCCAAGTCCTTTGAGAATTTCCTTTGGATTGAATGAAACTATTGTGATAATAGGATGCCTTTGTGGTTTTCACTTTATTATTGATTCGATTTCGGAGCTTTCTGTAATTACCACAGTCTTGAGGATTCTTTGTTTTTATCGCTTTCCTTTTAGCTTTCCAAATTGCTCTGTTCCGAGCAACACTACTATTCAAGTTAAGCGCTGCTTTGCATCTGCACCGGAAATAATGATTTGTTAGTAATTTTATCATTTAAAGAAATAATTATGTTTGCATGTAGAATGATATGTTGCTCGCACTAATCATATCGCCGCATAGGGGTATTTATTTCGCAGCAATCAGATTATCGTTGTTTTGGTATGTATCTCATACTAATTAGGTTGCCTCACTAGGGCATGTATCTCGCACCAATCACATCATAGCATTTGGATATCTTGCATCAATCACAGAGTTTGGGTATTCTTTTCTCGTAAATGATGTTATGGAATTAGGGTGCTGTGCTCAAAGAATGACATAAACCAGAAATTTTGGACTCATTTGATAAGTGCAATGATGTGTGGCCTTCGAAAGAGCCTCGTCGATTGAGGTCGAGATTTATCGGGATATGAAAGGTTTGCATTCATCTTGTTGTATCATTTTTAAGTTCAAAGGTGTTTTATCCGCTTTTATTTCTCACACGTAGACGCCGAACAACTTACATCTATCACGCACTATGAAAAAAACCCTCAAACATTCCCAATCACTGAACTGCAATTTTTCACGTGCATGAATTGTATTCCATCAATCAGATTCCGTCGCCAACGCACTCTCTCTATAACGGGGAATAGAGGCGTTGTGTATCGAGACCAAACGATAGCTGCAAGGAAGACAACGTTAAACGTGGCACCGATGCATTTTACTTTTGCCCAGAGGATTTTTAGACAGTACCTGTGTGAGGTCAGCTAAATTTTTGTTTTCTTTCACGGTGAAGTAATGCGATATTTTCTTTACTTTAAAAGTTATGCTCTTTTTCTGTTACAAAACTGAAAGTGTCCCATCTCAACCTTTCCAGCCAAAATAATAACTCTTGAATGCTACACATGCCTAGTTTATCTTTTCGGTGAGCAGAACATGAATTCAATTCCAACTCAATATTGACCGTTTTTTAAACAAGAAAATGTATCTACGCCCTCTCGTGACATTTAAGAATTGACGTAACCCTTATTAACCACGTTATAGAGTAATGGTTGCTAGGTCGATCGAAATGCCCGCCATATTCGAATTAGATGCAGGACGATCAGTTTATTACGCTCACTGCTCATGTTGCATTGCATTGAAACTAGCCCCTACAACTTTACAGTCCAAACGATCGGATATTAAAATATAATACAATAGACACAAAATTGATTCCCCTACGCGAAGAACAAATAAGCCTCCAAGTTTTTTGTATTTATATTAAAGTTCACACGGCAACCAGGTGGACAATCAGACATAGTTTGATGTTACTCTGGTTTACAGTTTTAATGAATGTAACCGAAGTTACAGATGTTTCTATTACTATCACTATTGCGAGTAACAACAGTTATGAAACTTTCAATTATCAGTTGTTTTTCATGTAGTTAATATATCCCTTCATTGGAATAAAATGGTAGTGAATACCAATTGCAAAGAATCATCTGGAATTAGTTAACTTCACGTCAGTAAGATTATCTGTGAGTTCATGTAATTTTGGTAGTTGAGTTTTCGAATATTAATTAGTTCCTCGTTGAACTGACACCTCCCCCCCCACCCTATTCTTCTTCCCCCATCTAATCAGATTTAAGAACAGTAGAATTAAATGTGAATGTAAATTTTCATAAATTTGCAACTGGAGATATTAGGTTAACCGTATACACATGTTACGGGAAAAGTTGTTGGACAAAAGAGCAAACATTTCAAGTGCGCGCAACAATCTCAAAAGATTATCTGGGTAATCGATTTGAGCAAGCTCGCTCTTGTTTTCGTTTTCAGCAGTTTACAATTTAGAGTCAGTGTTATACATAAAATGGGTTCATCAAACTTATGATGCCTCGTCCTTAAACTGACATTTTCTTAGATTTCCTTGAAATCCTGAGGTCAAGTCTATACGTCACCTGAAAGCTACCCACAATACCTTTCGGGTTATTGCCTGCACTTCCGACACGCTTTTTTCCGACAACCTTTCTCCAAAGAACTTTATTTATTATTAAGTTTTCATAAATGTGCAAGTGGAGATATTAGGTTAACCGTATACAGTTATTACGGGAAAGGATGTCCGACAAAAGAGCAAAAATTTGAATTAATTGATTCAATCATTTGAATTATTAATCCTATCTTTCTCAAATCACTTTGTTTGTCTACAAAAAAAATCGATTTTAAAATGATTTTTTGTAGCAAATATGTCATTAAATGGGTTGCCTAAAAAACCGTTTGTAATTAAACTAAACCGTCACTAGAAGTAACTCGGAAAGTTAATACGTGAGGTATTTGTTTACAATTGAAATCATTAATGGAAATTTCATTCATTATATGTCTGAACTCTCTCAAGCAATTTGTTCCTTGAAGAAAAGTGAACTTCTATACTTCAAATACGCTTCCAGTCAGTCTTTGCAAGTCTGTTCAAGTTGGACATTGGCACCGCAAATTTCACAGCAGTAAACGAAGGAATTCAACGAGAAAAAGCTGCATTAAATTCCCCTTTTGGTGAAAGACCAGAGTTGCACATGCAACTGTACCAGACAAACGAGCAAGCTCCCACAACTTCAAAACGTAGATATAATTTTACTTACGATTACTTTCCACTTAAGTTTATTCGCCAAACCAGCGCCGTTGGTGTTGTTGTTTTAAAGCGTGCATGCGCTTTTTTTTCTTACGCAATCTCTAATTGACATGAGTCTGATTGTGTCAAAATTTGTTTGGAAGCGTTTTAAACCATCTCTTTCACTACACAACTAAAAATAATTCGGTAAAGCCTCTCTTTAATCTGCATTCCCTCAGTCTTTTTCTACTACCATTTACTCGCTCAAAAATTGTTCAGTTTATAGAAGATCCTACCGTAATTATAGCCCTAAATCATCAGGGTTATTTTTGAAAACATTTCGTTGAGTTCAAGGTCCGTATTGGGAAAAACTCTGCATTCTGTCCTAAGCACCATTGCTCAAAACCTTAGGCACAGTCTTACCCGATGAATAACATATTTATCGCTGACTCGTACGAGAAACGCAAAAACGCACACGCGCGCACACACGCACAAAATAAAATTACTTCGGTGTGTTATGTTGATGCACGCACTCACTGATCTCAGTGAACACGCCTTGTGAATTGTGGCAAGGGTAATTCTAGAGGGATTAAATTATATTTTGAAACATGTTGGTTGGCACTTTATGAGAAGAAAATAAATGAATAAATAAATGAACGAAAAAATGTATACTAATCATAACAACTGGGATAACGATAATGATGGGGACGAGAAAGTATTTTTGACACTATTAATTTCATAACAAACAATGGGCATCAAAACCCTCTACATCCCTGAAGCGAAAATTAAAATTAGGCTAGGTTTTTAAAGTGGAAATTAGGGAGATCAGGGTAATCGCAACGTTATTCTACGACCTTTTTGTTTTGCTTTCCAACTTACGTTTTGAATCACATGTAATTCTAACAGGAAGTGTCTGACTAATTATTATTATAATCAGTCACATATTATCTTTTTTTTTTGCAGTTTATGTTAAGGTACATCAATGTTAAAATTGGAATTACACTGCCTCACCTGTTCCTGGCAATTCCATCGAGAAAGGAAGGATGACTGTAGAAGAGAAAATGAGCAAATAAATAGATTGCCATCTCAAGAATAACATTTGAAACAATGATTCAATGATTCTAGATTTCCAGTTAGACTAGTACTACTGCATTTTATTCGCTACATGCCCTTGAACATGTACCCATGACTTTTATTCTCATCCCTAGAGAGCTGGCGAAGAAATTTTACACAATGCAGAATCTCCGCAATTTATCAACCAGCTGAAAACTTGTTACATGTGGGAAACATTTTTAAGGATGCGGTAGACTTTCGCGACTGTCTTTCGGACAAAAATTTTTGAACGGGCTATTCGGAGTACTCGTAGAATTTCGGGGTGATCCATTAAACATTATTAATTAGAGGACTTCATTAGAAGCCAAAGACAACATTTTTTAATTAAGCTTAAAATTAAAAAAAAAGGGACTGTCTCCATGAGACTGTTAGGAGTTCCATTTCTCAATTTTAATAAATAAAAATTGTTTAATTTTTCTGTAAGTGCGAGTCACTTTAACCCCCTCAGCTCATTCATAAAATCAGCTATCGAAATTCATAAATACTAATGGTGTTTTAACTTGCGATGAGAAAGGAAAAGTACACCAATTCAACCATTTTTATTCCAAACCCCTGATCGAATGTTAAACTTTGTATCTAACTTAATGCCATTTTAAGTGGACCCTGATGATTAAGTTCGATCCCTTGTCTAAGCACGTCGAACGTTCAGCAGCTATCTGAAGAGTAGACGTTTTTCCCTTTAACATCTTGTCATTGTGGCATAAAAAAGATAAAAACTAGGCTATTGTGTTCCTGTTATCCTAAATATGACTGCCTAAACTGTTGTGCAGACAACCATAAAGTATGCCACCGCATGAATGTCTCGCCTATGCTATTTGATCTCTAATTACTTTGCACTATAAGGAATCTGAAAGGCTTCAGGAATCCAATTTATCAGAGATCCTTCTCTGCTTATGAACTAAGAGTTTAATGCGGACGTCTTTAGAGTCTAGTTTGTTATGTTTTAATTAACAGAGATAACTCTCCGCCACCTGACATCTTTTCTCTGTTTGGTTTGGCTGAATTTCACGGGACATTCCCAAATCGATATAAATGTTTTGCAAATGGAAAGTCAAGATATTATTAAGGTGGTACTTACCTGGCGCACAACTTTTAAAATGAGTTTTTCACAATTTGATGGATTTAGTTGAACTGATCATACAATTCATTAAGCTCACGAAATTATTATAAGTTGCTGTCAGTAAGCTGTCTTTACACTTTTTCAATCATTTAGCATTGTAAGGAAAGTGATTAATATCGAGAAACTAATAATAATGATAATTATGATAATACAAAGATCCCAAAGTTT